TTTTTGAAAAAAAAAGGTAAACGAAAACGGTAAGGAACCTCATATGGAACAACCCAATAGTTCAACACATTGGTAAAAGTCATGATGCATCAAGAAGCGGTAACTTAAAAAGCATTCGAGTAAATTTACTCGAGTTTTCCTTTTCCGGATTATTCAGACGAACTTGGGCCTGGAGACATTCTGTGAGTTTAAGGGAAACATTGTCACTTCCGTGAACTCCGTCCGGCTGCGCGATGTGTACGGCACTGAGTAACGCGAGCTCTTCTAGTCCAACATGGCCAAGGCCGCTACGTAGCCTTTCCACTAATGCCGGGCTGGCAGCCGACGTCACTGGAGAGTCGTCACCAGAAAATGCGCTTCGGAGAAGCTGAAAAGAAAGGTATTTATTTATATACTGCAACTACAAACCAAAATTTGTCCAAACATAGTCAGAGGATAAGCCCTGCGCCCTCGTGCCTGCTGGACGCGTGGAGCGTTTTGACTGCGCACAAAGCTTATTCAGGAGCACCTCTAAAGGGGAAGCTCTTTCGCGCTATGCATAGCGCTTTTCATGGATTCAAACCTTCATTTGTGTTATTTTATTTACTTTACTTTATTCACTTATTTTTCTTTTTTCTGTCTTTTCCATTTTATTCATATTTTACGAGCATAAAAAATAATTTTGAAAATACTTTTATAAATGGCCCGAGAGGCATTTGCTCACCATGCATCCTTTAGCGCCTTGCCGAATCTTTGCTGCCAATGCGTCCTCGGAGTATTCTTTGAATAATGAGATTTTCGAGACGAAATGTCCAATTCTTTGTAACACATCCTGAAAATCAATTTTTAGTAAAAAAATATATAATTTATATAGTTGTGAGTAAGCGACAGTGATTAGTTCGCAAGTTGAAAGAGAATAATATTAATTTACCATTTGTAAATAGAATTATTTGGGACTCTATTGAATTTAAAATAGGTAACCTGGTTAGTTCAAAAAAACTTTTCTAAAAAAACCTAAGCCAAAACTAGCTGATCTTCAAAAAATCCTCTCTGAATTTTTTAGTGGGCATTTGAAATAGGGATTATTCATACAAAAAAAAGAAAATAAAATGAATACATAAAAAAGATATCCATAAAATTCGGCACGATACAAGAAAGCAACTTGTGAGCATAAATATCTTAGCAAAGTGGAAGATGAGGTACCGACGACTGCGTTAGACACGAGATTCTTTAGCAGATCATGCGGAAAAACGGACATACATGAAACCAAGGAACCTAATAATAAAAACTCATGATAAGAACCACAAACGGGCAATTAAAAAATAAATGCAGGATTAAAACAATAATAATAATTCAAAAGAAAGAAAAATCCGAATCAACCGAAAGTTTAGACTTGATTGATGAGTAGACTTTATAAAATATTTTCGGAGTAATAATAATTTACTTTTTAATAAATAAAATATTAAATGAATATCAAAAAAATTAAAAATATTCGAAAATAATAGCAGTATTACCTCCGGATTTTGAATGACAAGTCCTTCACCGAATGCCTCGCGGTAGGCCTGTGTGACTTCCTCGACGATTCTCATCATCGCTCTGGTCTCATCCAACTCAACATCCTTATCGTCATCGCGGGTTTTGCGTTTTCGAGTACGATCTTGCCGAACAGACTCCTTAAAATTGGATTAAAATTAATTAATTAGCCAACTTGAAGTTTAAATTTCGAGAAAAAGGGATTTGATTGATTGTGTGTCATCAAAATGGACGGGGACTCACCTTTGACATGCCCTTATCAAGGCATTTCTGAAAACGGCACGCTTGACAACGATTTCGACTGACTCGATCCACTGGACAACTCTTCTCCTTGTGACAAGTGTACTCCATATTTTTCTGCACAGTACGACGGAAGAAACCCTGAAGGATTTGATAATAATCATGCAAAATGATACTGAGCTGCTTGATAGTCACCATGGTTGAAATGTCTGCCTAGGTTTTGGAACTTCTATTCCTTACCAAAGGTCTTTTTCTAGCTATTCTTTGACTGTCGCGATCTTCTGTGGTGATTTTGAGCCCTATAGCCCCACCCTATGTACGTTATTTTGAAGATTAGAATCGTAGCTAGGATAGAAATAGGGATAAGAGGAAAAGACACACAAGTGCCGCATATCGGACTGTGAACCCGTCTGGGCCATCATTCCCTCTCGGATTAGATGTCGTGCTATTATTCCGCACTTCGGCCCTTTTTTCCATCATCCTCATGAAAGATCATTTTGAAAGGTTGAAAAAAAGTCGTTGGTTCGCCTGCGGTATGAGCGGAGCGAAGCATTTTTTAAATTTTTTTAACCTCTCAGTCTCCTCCCTTTCCAAGGCTCCTTGTTTGCATATTAGCCTAATTGTTTTTCTTCTTATAAATCTATTAGATAAATATATAGATAAATAGACAAATGGATCTATTCATAAATATATTGATCTATGAGATAAACACACTGACTCCAGTCTTAACTGCCCCTGCGTTTTTCCTCGTTCAGGTTATGGGTTGTGCACTCATTAAAATACTGTCTGATTTCGAACGCTAGTCAGATACATGGCGCATCCCAATATCAATCCCAAGTCCCCAAAAACTCTACCTTGCATCCTTCACAGCTCATTACTCCGTAGTGATATCCGCTGGCGTTATCGTGACATACGACACAGACATCACGCTGGCTCGAAGTGTCTCCTACAGGCATACCCATCGTGAAGAATGGCTGCATCTAAAATAGCCCTTATAATTACATTTTACAATGAGTTAATTGGTCTCATTCTTTAATTAATTTTTATTAATTTTTCACCAAAGCCTCCACAAAATAGCTTCACGGGAACTTCGGAGTTAATGCTCTCAAAATCTAAAAAACTTATTTCCTAATTTTCGAACTCTCCCAATTCGAAGATTTTTGAAATATTCTCCACAGGCATACTTCATTTTCACAATTCCCTATTTTCATTTCCTTTAGATTTTTCCTCAAAATTCAATCCAATTTTTACCCTGAAGTGGTCCTGGTAATTGGCGGACTGTGGTGGAGGTCGTTGCGGGGTCAGAGACCCTTGAGTTCCTGGCGGGAAACCGAAGTTCGTGAGTTGTCCGAGTGGGCCAGGTGCTGTAATTAACCTAATCGATCAGGGAAGAATCTCCGACACTGTCAAAACTAGGGCACATCCGTTGGTAATTGCTGAATGACGCAATTACTACGGTAGAAAAAAATCTGACTGAAATACCTGATGAATGTGGAAATTGGAAGTTTCCCATTTGAAGATGATGATGGAAATTCGGTGGTGGCATTCCTTGGTGGTTGAGGAGCCGGAGCTTTAATCGGTGTTGGAGCTTGGATTTGTGACGATGGAGCCTGACCCTGCGGGGACGGTCTTGGGTGGGAAACTGATGGAGACGATAAAAGGCCTTGGGCTCCTCTTGGGTAGGTGACAAAACAGGTTTGGCTTTGTGGACCAATTCCGTTTTCAGCAGTGCCGACACGGAGAAGGAATTTGATCTGGAAAGGTGTGCAATAAGAAGGGTTCACCGAAATGTTTAGCAGTTGTCATATGGTTGTTAAAAAGTTTCTACTGGAAAATGAAATAAAATGAAATGAAAAAATCAACTTAAAAGGTGTAAATTACTTAAAAGCAAAGATCAAATTGAAAAACTAGGGGTACCTTGAGGACTCGTTCGACGAAGTTCCAGAAAGCGGTGGAGAACCAGCATAACTCAAAGTTTCGTTACCAGAATCCCTGAAAAAATATGATGTATAGCCAAGAATCAATCAATAATTAACCGTAACCTGGTGACTACCGCATCCTCAGTAGGATGGGTTGAATTGAAGCCTTCGCTTAGTAAGCCGGCCGTGGCCACAGACAAGGCAGCTGTCGGCTGGGCCTGGCCCGAAGTGGACTGTTGTTGTTGGCTCATGAAGTGAAATGCGACCTCAGGTGGAGGGAATACGCCGTTAAAATACGGCTGAAACATTTGAGCCAGAAGAGCAGGCGGATACATTGACGATGTGGGTAGTTGACGTTGAATTCCCATTCCGGGAAGGGTTAGTGATCGAGGTTGGGGTGACCGGCATTGGGGTTAGGGTTTAGGTGGTGTGGCCGGATATCGCTGAATATTGGGCTTCGCCTCGGAATACGGAGACGATTGCATAGTCGGGATGGTGTGTGATGATAGTGGAATGCGACTGCGACGACGACGATGACGACCCTTACGTGCTCCGCTTGGGTCTTACGCAATCATACGCGGCAGGGCGGGGCTAGTAAGCAGCTGATGTGTTTGGGTGTTAGCACCAGAGGAATTGACCTCGACCACCGAGAACGGAGTTGACCTCAACGCCCTGTGTCTGGCTGAAAATGCCTGCAAAGGAGGTGAAATTGCTCCAGAGGTGACGCAGACGGCTGAGAGGGCGCCGAGCCGTATGGGAGTAGTTGGAAAGTTAGTCGGTTTTGACGATGAAAATGACATCTACACTTTCAACAAAGGGTTTACACTTTCAACAAAGGGTTTTTTCGAGGGAAAGCTTTTTGGAGAGCTCTGTACTGAAATACTTCCCGTAACCAGATGGCGCTTCACTCGCTGCGTGGGTTAATCTTTTGGGAGTGCGCCGCGCAATCTTCTGCCGTTTAGGGTTGCATATACTAGCGAAATGCACGCAAGGACAGGGTTGTTCGATATTCAGTGTGATGTTTTGTCACACCATGAGATATCCTTCCCGGAATCAACCGACCTTAGAGGGCTAAGAGCTTGACTGACTAGTGGGTGATCGAATATTTGCGCGTTGCTGATGATCACCTCCGAATCATTAATTCCGATCCTAATGAGATAAGAGTTCCTGGATCCATCCGTTATAAAAAAATGTGTGGTGGCGAGTGACTGGCGAAATATTTCCGAACGGTAAGCAAGAAGAAAAAGAATTGGGGAAAAAAGGAAAAGAAGTAGAAAAAGAAAAAGAAAAACAGAAAGACAAGGGACACATCGAAAGAAACAATGAGTTGAATGAAGAAAAGAAAAATCAAAAGAGCCAAGTCGTTCGTTTTCTCCATAGTTCTGAATGCTTCCTGGAGATAGAACATTTTATTAAAAAGTGAACTTCAAACGAGGAGAATGGCTCAAGATCTGTGGAAATCTGACCCAGTGGAGGGTTAGGAGCTATCAACTCGAACCGGCTTAACCTTCATTAACTGCAATTACTAGTACTCGTTTGAATCGATTTCCAATCGACATTTTTACTTAGTTCTTGTTGTTTCGTGAACAAATTTCTGGACTACCTCTCCTTCAACCAGGAACTGAGTAGTTTTGGCCACAGAACTCACCAATATGCAATAACACAAGTCAGAAAGAAGTCGTGAAATCCTTTCAAGCAGCGTTCCTTTATTTTATGTGTTTTTTTTTTTGCAATGTTCATTATTCATCGTAATTATTTCTTTCGCAAAGGAAGGAAAAAAATTAACAAAAAATAAAATAAAGCAAATATTTTTTCTTTCTTTGCAGGACTTCCTTTTTATTTGTAATTGTGTTTCCGAGCAATCGCTATGTCTATGTCGTTTCTGACGAACCTGGAGTAAGATGAATAAATACATTAATTTATTCTTCCTCGGGCCAACCAAGCTTTGATTCCTCTGGGACCGGTTAATTGGAACCCGGTTAGTCTGGTAAGACAGAGACTTTGAATTGTATATTGGCAGACGCATCATCTCATTAAAATGCGACTGCGATTCCGTATGACAGGCAGAAGGATTCGTGGCGCATCCTTGAAGGGGTTGATCAACGTCGGATACTTACCGTTCAATTTTGGGTGATTATAACATTTCATTGTGACTTTCGAGGAAATACCTTTCCTGAAGTTTCTCTCTCCCGTTTGGTTACTTCCTACTAACCGCCGGGGATTTTCACTTGCCAACCAACGATAAGAAGCAGTGGCCGTCGTGCCCTCGGAATGGCCATATCAACAAGTTGGTGGCCCCGACGTGCTCTGATGATCCCATTGATGAACTACGTAAGAGGTCAGTCGATTTGCGTATGAGGTCGTCACACGGTGCTCCGGCAAAGTGACGGACGGCCCTTCCATCAAATCGTCGCCATTAGGATCGGCTGAGGTCAAATGCGAACACCTAGATAGATGAGTCCCAGAGGTAGAAGAGACGACCCGTACAGGTGATGCCTGCCAATGGCGACACTCCTCACATCCTATTACAGTCGCTCTTATCGCATCTGCCATGGAGATGCAGAGTGGAAAGAGCTGA